AACGTTCATGTTAACTTGCGTCACATGCACATGCTACGTCACGTCCTGGGTTGCGGGGGTGGGGTGTGTTAACGTTCATGTCAATTTGCGTCACACGCACATGCTACGTCACGTCTTGGGTTGGGTTGGGTGTGTTAATGTTCATGTGAACTTGCATCACATGCGCATGCTACGTCACGTCTTGGGTTGCGGCGGTGGGGTGTGTTAACTTGCGTCACATGCACATGCTACATCACGTCTTGGGTTGGGGGGTGTGGGATGCTTTACCTTCATGTCAACTTGCGTCCCATGCACATTCTACGTCACGTCTGGGGTTGGGGGGTGGAGTGTAGGAACGTTGATGTCAACTTGCGTCACATGCACATGCTACGTCACGTCTTGGGTGGGGTGTGGGGTGTGTTAACGTTCATGTTAACTTGCGTCACATGCACATGCTACGTCACATCCTGGGTTGCGGGGGTGGGGTGTGTTGACGTTCATGTCAACTTGCGTCACACGCACATGCTACGTCACGTCTTGGGTTGGGTGGGTGGGGGGTGTTAATGTTCATGTGAACATGCATCACACGCACATGCTACGTCACGTCTTGGGTTGGGGGGTGGGGTGTGTTAATGTTCATGTTAACCTGCGTCACATGCACATGCTACTTCACGTCTTGGGTTGGGTGTGGGGTGTGTTAAAATCGGCCATGCCATGTAGTCTTGCGACCACAGTCACAGCCATGTGGACCCAAAACTGATGCGAAGCATCAGGGTGTGGCAGTTGTGGTGGATGAACTCTAAATCAAAAAACCTTTTGCAGGTCACTGGTCGCTCTTTGAAGAAGCGCATGGCGATGTGAGAGGAGGAAAACATCGCGCGTGTTTTGAAGATAAATTTTGATGCAAATTATAGGACATCATCATCGAACATGCACTTCAAATTCCCGGGGAATTTTAAGCCTATTTTGTGGAATGAATCAATAGTTTCGCTATGGCGAAAACGACATTTAGAAAGCACAACGCTCACAACCGCTGGCGCGGTTTTCCCCCCGACCGGTTGTTTGTGCCTGGTCTGACTGCTGCCCTCTTGGTGGCAAAGACTTGATGCCAAGAACCCACTGTTCCCTGTAGGCACGGAAGGATGATTTGGATGCTCAACGCTACGAACTTGCTGAGCAACTCTTTGTAGCTTGGAGCCGATTTAGGGCTTGGACGTTACCAGAAACAACTGGAATTGAAAAGAGTTATGACTTATGACGGGAACTGTTCTATCAATGTCTGCTGCTTGCAAGCAAAGAAATATTGCATGGTTTCTTCTTTACCTTCCACCTCACAAACTTCCAAGAATCTCTCCAACTTGTCCAAAAGCCGGAAATCTCTTTTCTAACATGACTTGCACATTTGATGCAGGACTTTGATCATTTGGATGCAAAGATAGACGTAGAGTCTGAGGAGTTCAAGGCGCCTTTCTGTCCCGCAATTCGGAAACCACTAGGCTGTTAGACTGTTCGTCCCTGTCAGGAAGAAGCTCAAACTGCAGAGGCTTGCAGTTTTTTGTTGCTAGTTCTGTGTCTAGCTTGATTTGCAGAATGATACCTTCATGCTCGGCAGTCAACCATCTTTGGAGGATTCGCTCGCTGCAGATTCCAATGACTCGGTCGCATCTGAGAGCGACACAGTCGTTGCCTCAGAAAATTGCGTGGTTTTAAGATTGGACAAGTGAAAAGGGTTTTTCGCCAGAGGCCTGTTGCCGGCGCTCAGGTGAATATGGCCCACTTGTTTGCTGCAGATCTCTTGAGTCTCAAGCAAAAGAAGGCACAACAGATTTCTCGCAAGAACTGAGTCGACTGAGTTCAGAGCAGTGACAGGGAAGTTCGAGGCAAAGAACAAAGGCGTGAAAGTATATGTGCACGGGATGAAGCTGCTCGACCGAGTGGTTTCCGACCAGTGTTGATTATTGCACCCGTGAGTTCCCGATTGATTCAAAGCGACAGAGACTGAGCTGCGTGTTTTGGTTGGAATTCAAAATTTGCCCATCATTCGGATCTCCTGTGTTTCTTGGTAAGTCGCAGGGTCAATGCAATTGGGTGCCTTTGCAAGCACAAGACTAGCAGCTGGCACAATGCTGGCATCGACGAGGTTCTCACCTCGCTCTTTATTTCTATTCTCTGCCCTCCTCTCGGTTGGAGCTGACTCCTTTTCCCAGGATGCAAGGGCCAACTGCAACCCCAGAAGTGAACACATCGCCAGATGGAGGTTGTGCTTCTTTCAAAAAATGTTGCAGTTGCAGCAGAGACGGAGAATGGAGCCAGAATGGCCGCCAGACGGAGGTTTCAGTCTCTCAAAAAGAATGGTGCAGTTGCAGAACATACCAGAACTCTCAGCTACTTTTAGAGTAGGGTTGGAACATGTTGGAACTAAAATTATCGAAGCACCATGACCTCCTGTACAGTGGCGGCTCATTTGACCGGTGATACCAAATCAATTCATCCTCGAGTCGAGGCCGGTCGTTTGTGGCATGACGTGGATGTCAGTGGATGACCCAAAAACAACCGAGCTTCTGTTGCACGGTGGGAGGAAGTTTCGAAAGAGAATTCTTTTTTTCTCGTCATGTACGCGATTGTTGAGCAAATGAAGCTTTTGTTTCTAGTAGGTTTCATTTGTGTACCTTCTGAAACTTTCTTGGCCAAAGCAGAGGTGAGCTACTGGTGCCATCCGATTGGCAAAGCTCATAAATGAAATGTGAAACATCAACTTATTATCCATTGTGGTCAATAGAAGGATACCAATTCTTGAGATTTTCATACATTTTCTACTTAGTTTTGTCTTGCCACTGTCTTGTTTAGATGCATTTTGTCTTATGCTACCATGAAAAGTGTGATTATGTAGATCCCCGCGCAGAGCTGTCGCGATGCCACTGACGTTGCCGATCTCTAAATCCCAACGACAGCTACAGATACAGTCGCTGCCTGCGGAGCAGCGCGCAGTCCAACTGAGAAGCTGGGTTCAAATTATTATATTCAGATATGCCGAGAATGAAGTGTGAATTCTGGCCGGGAATCAAATTGCCAGCCGTTTCTTAGACTTAAGCATTCGAGATAAAAGCTTTTGTTTTGGGACAGCATGTAATTGCAGAGGAAATACGGGCGCACTAAGAGAAAGCATATATACACGAAGTACATACACACTCGTGTAAATGCACCGGAGAGAGATGTGAATGGATGTTGGGCCACAAATCACAGGTACAAAATCAGAAGCACTTGAAATGCACTGCTGCACACCCCTTGCCAGATTTCAGGGGTGCTTTGGATGCGGATTTGTGAGGTGGCATTTGTTGGCCACCGTTCGATACCTTTTTCATGGGCAGATTTGTGGATGTTTGTGTTTCTTATGTCAGGTCCCATGAAGGACTTTTTAGTTGCAACATGAAATGGTATGTATGTATGTATGTATGTATGTGTGTATGTGTGTATGTATGTATGTATGTATGTCTGTATGTATGCATGCATGCATGCATGCATGTATGTATGTATGTATGTATGTAATTAATGTATGTATGTATGTATGTATGTATGTATGTATGTATGTATGTATGTATGTATGTATGTATGTATGTATGTATGTATGTATGTATGTATGTATGTAATGTATGTAATGTATGTAATGTATGTATGTATGTATGTATGTATGTGTGTATGTATGTATGTATGCATGTATGTATTGTAATTGTAATTGCAATTGTAATTGTAATTGTAGTTGTAATTGTAATTGTAATTGTATTGTGCTGTACTGTACTGTACTGTATTGTATTGTATTGTATTGTGCGAAACATTTGCATTCACTCCATACAGTTTGTTGCATGTGGAAACATACATGTTCCAGCAGGTTTCACAATCTATTACGTGAGGCCGTTGTGGTTCAAAAAGCTGCCACCCATGCTTGAAAGGTATCCAATCTACAGTGCCTCATGTCCATGTTGTCCATGTATCTGTTGTGGCTCTAGAGCTCGACCTAGGTAGACACAAGTCTTGACACAAGCACAAGAGGAAAACAAGAGCGGATTAGCAGATTCAATACTTTCGGCAACTTAGTTCCTCTATTTTTCGAGTTGGTAGCGGAGCCGGTAACCCCGGCTATAACCCCATTTGAGGTAACTGCTACTTACCCAAAGGGTCGGCTCGACTGTTTTCATTTTCTTTTTCTCTCATCCATTCGTTTGCCACCATGTTGACCGGCATGCTGAAGCTGTTGGCCGTGTTAGTAGTGGCACTGGTGGGATCTGTCTCTTCCAGCAGTACTGGATTGGTGATCAAGGCGCGCAACACCAGCGCCCTTGTGATCCGGTCCAGTGCTGTGGTCACGAGCCGGCAGTGAGCAATGACCATGACAACCCAGCACAGGTCACGTCAGCAGGACAGTACACTCCCAGCGTGACACTGGCGAGCACTTGGCTGAGGAACGTGAATTCAGTCTTGGTGAAACTGCATGTATCTCGAAGACGGTTCAAGATGAGCCCGAGGGACCGGCGTAGAGCAGAACTTCTGAGAAGGCACTTAAGGCGTCAGCAGGATGCAGTACTCCGGGCGATGATGAGTGAGTACGAATCCAAGCCGAGGAACCTTTAGGACCGCCACAAAGAACCCTGTAAGCTAGCCTATGGGACAAATGCAGTACGGAACAGATCCAGGACTTTTGCATGCATGACCGGATCCAGAGCAGGCAATCCGATTCTTCAGACACCTTAGGTAACTCGAATTCGATGACCGCTGGTCGCCCTACAGGTAGATCGCTCTCGAGCTCCACTTTGTTGCTAGCCGCCGGAGGCGGTCTCAGCACATGTGCGTTGGTTACCTGCATGGCCGGAAGGAGTAGCCATCCACGATTGCCTCCGGCGTGGGGCCCCGAAATGGAGCAGCAATACAGCTTCAGCACGTGGTCACGGGCCGTGCTGATTTGGAGCATTGCCACAGACGGTGATCCCGAAAGGCGGCTTGTGTCATCTCTCAACTGCAGGGCTCAGCCCGAGAGTTCAGCAGGACACTTCCGCCGCAGACCATGCTAGCTGGGGGTACCGTAAAATGGTACCCCGACAGATCCACTAACGTTTTTGAATGTCTTTGATGTATCAGCTTAGTTTGCTAGACTAGGAGGGGAAGTCCGGCTAGGGACAGTGGGTGATCTGTCATCATTTGGTAGGGACTCCAATGAACGGTTGACACTTCCGCATGCGCGCGGCAGAAACAGGTGGACTCGCTTTAAGCTATGCTGGCCTTTCTTGGTTGCTGATCCGTGCCGTAGTAGGTGAAAGGTGCCATTCGACGTATGGGTAGATCATTGAAAATGCACCAGGAAACATGTCCAATATGCCCAGGGGCCGTCAACATCAATCACACAGTTACCATATTCAGGACGATCACTCATGGAATGATTATGAAACCCCTTTGCAACATGACCAGCCCAGTAATTCATGGCATGGCCAACACCGACACCAGCAGCGATTACTGCGATGAGAGTTGGCCAGCTGCTGAAGGTGCCACAGCCAGTGAACAGGCAGCCGAAATTTACTGGGCCTATTCCCGTGCTAAGGCACGTTGGAGGTCATTCATGGGCAAGCCAACCAGAAAAGTCCGCAGGTTTGCTCGAAGGGCCATCAACAAAGGTGGAAAAGTTCGTAAGGCATACCAAAAGGCAAGATCATCAATACTTCATCATACCTTTCCGAACTCAATGAATCCCAACTCATGGAACTCTTCCCAACGTTCAGGGCCAAGGGAGGAAAGAAGGGTGTTGGAAGCGGAAAGGGTAAGGGCAGACGGGGAAATCCCAGAGGCCCGGATGGACGTAGGATGAAATGCCACGAATGTGGGTCGGAAGAACATCTAGTAGCCAGGTGCCCCAGGAGGGCTGCAGCTGCAGACACATCCCAAAATCTGTTTGTAGACTTGGACACTGCCGATCACATCCCCCCAGGTGTAATCACATCCACAACGGTTCTGATGGTTAATGAAGTAGATACATAGGCCCAAGATGGGTCCAACATGGCTCAGCATGGGCCCGACTTGGCCCAACATAAGCCCAAGATGGGCCCAAGATGGCTCAACCTGTGCTCAACATAGGGTCAGACGGCTTCCATACAGGCAAGCACTGCGCATTATGCCAGCCTCAGTTCAACATAGCCCTCCCTGGGTTTGCGTGGAGAATCTCGGCCCAATCTTCCCACACCATCAGCCAAACGTCGTTGCTTGGCCGGCGCCCGGCTGTCAGGCGTAAGCCTTTGAATCTGGGAAGATGGAATCAATGTCATGCCCGGCAGGTATGCAGAATCATTGATCGAGAGCTTCGAGGCAAAGTATGGCAATGTCAAGGTTCAACATGTGCCATGTGGAGATGAAGCTCAGGAGATCTCCAATGCTGTGCTTTTACCTCCTGATGAGGCATCTCTTTATCGATCACTTGTGGGCAGTGGCATCTACTTGTCCCAGGAGCGCATTGAGTTGGCTATGTCATCAAGCAACTTGCAAGTGGAATGAGCAGCCCTTCGATGGGACATCTTCAGGTGATGAAAAGATTCATTGGCTACCTGAAGAAGACCCTGGGCAACTACAACCACTTGAAGATCCCGAGCTGTGGCAAGGGCATTCATCACAACTACGACTGCAAGTGGATCCTTGAGTCATTCACGGACTCAGACTGGTCAAGCGACAGATCGACCAGGAGGAGCACCAGCAGTGGTGTTCATGCTTTGAATGGAATCATCCTCTTTCACAGCATTAGAGGACAACGTGTTGTCAGTGTGTCAGTATTTCAAGTGCTGAAGCTAAACTTCATGGACTTGTCAGTGGAGCTACGGATAGAATGGCTCTACGACTATGTTTGGAGTTCCTGATGGAGGTGAAGATCACCCACATCTGTTTTTTCGACAATTCAGCTGCAAGCAGGTGGCGAACAAACGTGGAAGTGGCCGACTTCGACATGTGAGCGGAAAATTGCTTTGGGTGCAAGATCAGACAGGCACCAAAACTTTGGAGGTCAAGCAGATTGGCACAGCATACAACGTTGGTGACATTGGCACCAAACCCTTGGGCAATAACCGCCTCTATGCCCTGATGTTCTGGTGCAGCCTGCACGACAAGGACGGCAACCCTATTGGAGAGGAGGAGATTAAGGAGAACCAGGTGAACAAGGCCAAGATCATGCGAGTGGCGAAGTTTCTCCAGACTATGGTGTTCATGAACGGCCTTGAGCTGGCGAGCGGTGAATGGGTTCCATTCAGGATGGACTTGGAAACAGTCACTCCGCCTGGTGACACTACGTGGCTCTTTTCACTGGTCCCCTATGTCATCCTTTTGATGGTCATGCTTGCAGGTTTCTTCTTTCTGCACAAGATCTACGCTGGTCTACCACGAGAAGTTCGACATCTACGTGCTGAGCTTCAGATCACACAGAATGAGGCTCAGATGCACCATATCCACATTACTGCCATGCACGTTAGCCTGATTCGAAATGGTGGCTACGTGGACCTTGATCAACAGATCACCGAGCAGGACTGGGACAATGGCACTATGTGGAGAGAAACAGCAGAAAGGAAGATGATCGCCATTGCAGATTGACAGAGCTGAAAGTTGCAACTGGTGGTGTGCGAAGGAGAAGGAGACATGTGACTCCACCAAGACCTGATGATGACCCTGGTGCTCCCGAGAACATGTCTGAGGAGGAGTATCAGCGTCAGCTTGAATCAAGCGATCCCGGAGAATGGCCGCGTGAGTTTGCAGCAGAAAGACGCCGACGATATATGGCATCTACGCTGTCAGAACGCTCAGACCCTGATGAGTGGATGGCACTTCATCATGGAGAACCTGGCAGTGGACTCTGCTTAGAAGGAGATGAAACTCCAGAAGTAGTTGGAGTCAAAGAAGAAGGATCCTAGCAGGCTACCAGCCCAGCACCAACGGAGAACGACACGCTCTATGAAGAGTTCATGCAGAATGAGTACGTGGAGTGGCCCGTGCACGACTTCACAGGGTCACATGATCGAGCCCAATTAAGCGCCTTTGAGCAGATCCGCTACTATGCAGGACGACAGGCTCAGGCAATTAGAGATGAACATGAACGCATGGTAGAATGGTGTAAGTGTAAGGATCAACTGGCCATACACCGACTGTACAGCCGTGTAGGCAGTTTGACCTTGAATGCAAGGTGATGGCCTGATCTAAAGGCTCAGACGATCAAGGAGGAGTGCGAAACATTTGCATTCATTCCATACAGTTTGTTGCATGTGGAAACATACATGTTCCAGCAGGTTTCAAAGTCTATTATGTGAGGCCGTTGTGGTTCCAAAAGCTGCCACGCATATTGTATTGTATTGTATTGTATTGTATTGTATTGTATTGTAAGTGTATTGTATTGTATTGTATTGTATTGTATGGTATGGTATTGTATTGTATTGTATGGTAGTGTAGTGTAGTGTATTGTATTGTATTTCATTGTATTGTATGTATGTATGTATTTAATGTATGTAATGTATGTAATGTATGTAATGTATGTATGTAATGTATGTAATGTATGTAATGTATGTAATGTATGTAATGTATGTAATGTATGTAATGTATGAAATGTATGAAATGTATGTAATGTATGTATGTATGCATGTATGTATGTATGTATGCATGCATGTATGTATGTATGCATGTATGTATGTATGCATGTATGCATGTGTGCATGTATGCATGTATGCATGTATGCATGTCTATGTATTCATGTCTATGTTTGTATGTCTATGTCTATGTATGTATGTATGTATGTACGTATGTATGTATGTATGTATGTGTATGTATGTCTATGTATGCGAGTAATGTATGCATGCAAGTAATGTATGTATGTAAGTATGTAATGTAACGTAATGTAAAGTAATGTAATGTAATGTGATGTGATGTGATGTACCGTAATGTAAAGTAATGTAATGTAATGTGATGTGATGTGATGTAATGTAGTGTAATGTATGTATGTACGTATGTATGTAATGTATGTGATGTATGTAATGTATGTAATGTATGTAATGTATGTGATGTATGTAATGTATGTAATGTATGTAATGTGTGTAATGTGTGTAATGTGTGTAATGTGTGTAATGTGTGTAATGTGTGTAATGTATGTATGTATGAATGTATGTTTGTTTGTATGTATGTATGTATGTATGTATGTATGTATGTGTATGTATGTCTATGTATGCGAGTAATGTATGTATGTATGTATGCATGCATGCATGCATGTATGTATGTATGTATGTATGTATGTATGTATGTATGTATGTGTAATGTAATGTAGTGTAGTGTAGTGTAATGTAATTTAATGTATGTATGTAACTATATATATAAATGTATATACATGTGTATACATATATACATATGTATGCATATATATCATCATGTGGAATGATTACGTCTTTGTAACACCAGTGCAGTCTTGCCCCACTTGAGCCCTGCAACTACATATTGCTGCTAAGGTACCGTGAAGGCGCTCTTACTTAATGCCAAATGGCTCATGGAGCCTGACGGTTTGGCCCGGGCAGAGCTCACCCAGATTTCAACAGGGCGGTTCACCAGGCAGGGGCAAAGGGGAAGACATAGTGCAGCACGGGGCAACGACGGCGCCCAAGGTGCTACACCGCTGCGAATCATTACTTCCATCCCTACGACCATGTGCAGTTCACCGCTGTTAGAGCTGCTGGCAAGGCTGACATTGCCACTTGCCTTCTACCCACGCAGTCTTGCAAACTTGTTTGGGGCAGGTCGAAGAAGGCAGGCCTACAGGAGCAATTTCCGAACATCCAAAAATTACTTAGATGCCAACTCAATCGCTGGTTTGCGCAGAGCCAAACTGATGCCTGATCCAACAGGTTGGATTAGTTGGATTTCTATTTTTTTTCAAGGAAAACGATGAAAGTCGTTCTAAAATAAGCGGAAAAATACGACATGATGGGAGGATGACTGCCGAGGACAGGACGCCAGGCCGTTCAGCTTCTGGGTCGCGCTGCCGGCGAATTGAAGAGATCAACGAGTTGGGTCCACTGCTCATCACAGACGTGCGAGGCTGGGAGTTTGATGTGCTGGTCTCGAACATCCACATCCAGTCAGTGAATTCTCAGCCGATGCTGTGAATGCAAGTCAAGGCTGTGAGTTCTTGTATTTGACATGAAAAGCATTCGCATCTAAAGGTGTATTTGAATGTCTTTGGATGCAGTAGTTTTTTTCCCTGCCTTTTTCTTCTTTTGCACTGGCAACAGTTTTTTTTCAAGAGACATCAGTGCTGTGAGCTGCCACAGGTCCCAGGGAATTCATTGTGAAATTGGATAGCTTGGACTGCGAAGAAGATGGTTTTGGTGGAGTAGCAGCTGTGCCCGTCAACATGTACAAACTTTGCTCCGAAGTTGTGATCCCTGCAACAATTTGCACCGAGAAGATTTGTCGGGTCATCCAAAGTGAAGATTTGACGAAACTGAGTGCTGCTCTTGCTTCACAGAGCGACTTCACTCTGTTGCAAGGCCTCCTGGCCGCATTTTTCCTGCTCCGGATGTTGAAGTGTGATGACACATGATGTATTCATGGAGGCTTTGTGGTTTGTAATTGGACATGGTCAGTAGCACTGCAAGCCGCGCCTTGAGGCGTACAGCTCAGCACTGGTCTGAGACTGCCCGCAGGTTTGACATTGCATGGCCGTCTAGCATTGAATGGTTATATTCGGAAACTTCATTGGGAGGTGGGAGTCCCTTTTCTTGCGCTGACAGTGTTCTCCTGCCCTTTTGCATGTCTTGGCCTGTCATGTTGCAGTTACATGCGCTCTGAATATCATCAAATATCATCAAATATCATCAAGTATCGTCACATCTCCAGTTTGCATACAAGGCTTCAAGGCAAACATCCAAGGTGCAGCCCGGAACAGCAAAGACTCGTTGGCCCCCGCCTCGCAAGGCCACGCTGCGCGAAGCCCAAAGTTGGTTCAGCTCGCCGCGGCGCAACCGAGACTGGGAAGCGGTGAGGAGTGTGGACGCAGGGGCCAGCGAGTTGGAAAACAAGCTGCAGGACTGCAGGATCCAAATCTCAGTGGTACCGGGTGGTACCTGTGGATCCATCGTTTGGAGAAATGCAGATATTTGTGAGCGTAAGATTGGGCTTTGTTGAAAACGATTGAAAGGCATCCCACTGAGGAGAATCATATAATATCATATACATAGATGGTTTCTCCTGAGTCGCAGACATTGTGTAGGACTTCGAGAAAGTTGCAGCTGGGGACTACTTGGTCTTCAGATCTGGCAAATCCTTTGCAGAAATCTGCCATGAGGGTTTGGCTGCCACGTTTGCACTAAATGACTTTTCTACCTTTGCCACATGGTTTTCTTTCCTCCAGAACTCTGAAGCTTCTTTTTCGAGCTGCAGACTGGTTGTGTAGGGGCTGTACACTCAGTGCATACTCAGTGCATTAACTTGGTAAAACCAACTGATTTGGAACTCCAAAGCGCGCCCTGAGGCTGCCAATGCCTACGTATCACACTTCTGGGGTCAGCCCTGCATCGATTTACTGAAGATTTTGCAGCACTATGCTGACACGATGGCACCGCAAGGGTCTGACCCAGCCTATTGGATTTGTACCTTTGCCAACAATCAGCATCGTGTGGACCTGGGAAGTCATTGGAAAAAGAGCATCTTGGCAGAAAAACAATGCACCATGGTCACCATGGTCACCATGGCATGTTCCAGGTTGACAGAGGCCATAGAGGCCATAGAGGCCAGTGAAATTCTGATCCATATGACATGATTGACATGATTGACATGATGTTTGAGGCCCTTTCTATCAGGGTATGTGTGGCTTGACAACCACTGGTGGTTCTGTGCTAATGGCAATGGATTCTATTGCTTCCACTTTGACCAGGACAAAAACAACAGATTTTGGGATCTTTCTGAAGATTTGAGAGGTTGTGAAATGCTGCGAGACTACTCTAAGCATGTGTCCTGGTCTGGCGGCAACCGTTCCCCATCAAAATTGGTGCAGGATCTGGTGCATCTTTGAGATTTATGTTTGTGCTGAGCTCAATCTGCCCTTGCGGCTCTTTTCTCCGGACGGAGACCTGTCACAATGCCAGGCGTCAGATGTGGAGTGACGCGAATTGATGCTATATGTTTTGGATTGATATCTTTCTGGGAGCCGAAGCAATCCACAGCCGAGCATCACTGAACCCATCTGAACCTTTGTCCTGTTCAGGGCCGTGCTCGTGCAAAAATCATCACAGAGAGGATCACTCAGTTCCTAGGCTGGCGTCTGAAAGCAGTGTGTCTCTAAGTGGAGTCTCTATAAGTTTCATCTGAAACCGAGTTTTCTATCTGCAACTCTCGAGGTTAGATTTTCGAAGAGCCGAAGCCTCGGTAGCTGCAGACAAATCCATGATCCTGAAGGACCGGGGAGACGTTCAACTCCTGAGGGTCGCAGTGACATGGAATTTCTTGAGGTTGATTTGCAATGGCAAATTTGACGCTGCCACAAATTTCGAGCATTGGTTTGTGTTTGTATTGCTAGACACGGGATTCAAACAAGTATCTTCTTTCTGTCCAAAGTAATTGCCAAAGGTCAAGCAGCCGCCCGTTGCGGTGATCAAGCATTTGCACATACCAAGTACAGCAATTGGCATCAATCAGTTTTCCTAGATTGCTCCCGGCATCAAGCTCGTTTGCATAGCCATCCAATTGGACCAGGCCATTGAAGACTTGGATGGCGGCCTCGAACGGGTGGAGTGGACGGTGAAACAGTTGGTCAGTGACTTCGCATCCTTCCTCTATGCGAGCCATCGTGCTGAGCATCCCGTTACAGGCATGTTGCTACTCTTTGAGCAAATGACCCGTATATGCCTTATTTTTGTTCAACCACTACAAACGATCCCCAATGGATGCAATTTTATCAACTGGCGGAGAATCAAACACACATGCCCGCAAAAGGGGTTGATGGTAGATTTTCGACATTCACTTTCATGCTGATTCATGCCAACCCAGACAACAACAAGTGGAGCTGCTGTAAGTTTTTGGCATCATGGCTGCTGGTGATTGCGGCAAGGTGAGCCACTGAGCCTGAATGAGGAGGAGGGAGACATGTTGCTTGGCACAACTTCGTACACTTGGCCTTTTTGGAGTCTTGACTTGGGTGATATCATAATATCCAACCTGAGTAAAAGAAGCGTGCGCAATATCTTTCCGAAGTTTTCTGCCAGGTTTCCTTGCCGCATTCGCGGCCGCACATGGTCCACCCTTCTGCGAAGAAAAGGCTTGAGCCTGGAGGTGCCCCACTGAGTGATACTGTACAGGATATGGTGATTGTGGTGATTTGTTGACATGACACTGTTATACACTGTTGACGCTCAAAACTCAAAACATCCCAAAATGTCGACCTGTTCGAAGCTGTTTGCTAACTGTCCTGCTATCACGTGCAATACATTGTCACATGTCACCCTCTCCAAGCCATTCTGAAATGGATGAGCATCGCTTGGTCCTTGGGCGAGGCGATTTCGCAACAACTGCAGGGAGGCGCCTTGTTCGTTTTGGAAGGCCCTGGTGGCAGTGGGAAATCTGTGGTAAGTAAAGCCTTGGCGAAGCATGCCATGAAGTCTGGTGTGTTCCTCGGCTTCAAGCTGCCGGTTCCTGGTTTCAACACATTTCTTGCGCATCTTGCAGCGTATCTTGCTGAGGCTGTCGCTGCGAGTGCCTGTCTCTCAGTTGGCAAAGGTGTGGGAAGATCACTCGCAACAACAACGATCAACAGCCACAACAGCGACAGGTCGTAGCAATGAGGATTTGCTGGTGCTCTGGGGCCGTCGACGTTTTGGCAAAGCTGCAACCAGATTGGCCAAACCCAAAGATCCTATCATTCTAATTTTGGATGCTTGGAACAAATCAACCCGAACACTTTGGACATCATGAACATGTCCCTGCAACATAGTCCAGGAAGGTAGCGCACATTGGATCATGGTTTGCTTCGATGGAAAGGGTGCGGAAGCTGTGGCCTCATGTAATGGAAAGCCACGTAGAGGCTTGGGATCCCAGACCAGGGGTTGGGTTCCATCCCTGTTTTTTTTTGCTCAGGATGGCTTGGATGAAGCAGGAAATCAGCGCGAAGCCATCATGTCTTGGCTCAAACACCACGTACGGCATCGAGAAAACTCACAGATCTTCAAAGGCATTCTCGTTACTTTCAGATATCCAGAGGCACCCGTTTTTTGCCTTGCCCGATTGTCGTTTTGCACCATGCTGTCAAAACTCTGGTTGGGGTGGGTCGGGGAACCGTTTGAACTTCTGTGTGGTATGACGAGTCGCACCTGTAGTCAAGTAATGACAAGTACAAAAGATAGAGAAGTGCTTTCTCAACCCCGACCTGCTGTTCACACGGTGCTTCAGCGGATCACGGTGACTGGCTTGCACAGACACGTAACAACCAGGCTGTGTTGGAGCGATTCTTTGGCTGAGATTCTTCCTTTTGCAATCTCGTAAGTCCCCCAAGATAGGGACAGTTGGTTAAAGGCCGCTTGCCTCTTGCCCAGATTTGTCGGATGTTTCACGGGCAGGTATCGAATCGCTCTGGTTTGCTCCGCTTGGGTTTCAGCTTCCTTGAAATCGAACCGCTGTCCTTGAAGGATGTGGTCAAAGCGGCGCGGAACAGCGGACAAGAGTGGAGGGTATCTATCGCATTAGGTGCGGAAGAAGTTTAGGAAAGCACGGGTCGGTGATCAGTTGTCACTCAAGTGACTTTAGCTCTTTGAAAAGCGCACTCGAACTCTGTTTTCCATCAGTCACCGCCGAAATTGTGGGGGTCTGCAGGTGGAAAGGGCTTGAAGGCTGAACTGTGGGATCGTCCATTGATGGCCGCACTTTTCATCGATTTGGTGTCCACCGGAGCCCGACTGGCCACTATTGATGAGCTTCTTGGTATTTCTTGATTGTGTTTTGTTCAACTTGAATGCCCGAAAATGGAATGGTCTGGAAAAGAAGTTGCCTCTCATGGCTTTTGTGATTTAATCCCGAGGCAAAGCTTCGATTCTAGTTTAATTTGATGCTCAGGCTCAGGTTGAAATTTCGCCCCGGATGGCTTCTCAGTGGTGTCCGAGGATTGGAATCCTGCGTTACTTCTTTGAGAAGTTGTTGCCTCCAGACTGTGAAGCTCTGCAACAGACATTGACAGGCCGAGCGGCGGGATCAGGCTCAAGCATTCTGGACAATCCCATGGATGTTGGTGAAGAACAGCTGAAGAGGATACTGATGAAACTAGCTTGGCTGAAGACTGTGGACGGCAGCCGCATTATCCAGGAAGAAGCACGGCAAAAAGTGATTCCGTTTGTTATCAGCTCAGCGCTGTTCAGTAAGTTGTGAGCCTTTGTGTCAGAATCAGCATCCAAAGACATAACCAGGCACTGCTCTATCTGAGGAAGATCTTCGTCGTGCGTTTGCTGCGTGTGGTTTGGATTGCAAGGTCCAAGTAACAGCTTTCTGGCACGCTGCAAGCCAGGGTCAGTTGCGACTCTTGGATCATGGTGAAGGATTTCTACAGTGGCTCCAGCTTCGGTGTGGGTAATCTTGTCTCCTGTGATGTGTCTTTTCTGGGGAGAAAGAGTCCGCATTTCTGACATGCTTTTGTGAGGTAGTAGCTCTTCCCGTATCCCAGACTCATGGGCTATCAGGTTTCTGCACTTGAGACTGCAAGACTTTTTAGCATCGGAGTACCTTTGGTCCATGGGCGATTGGCAAGCTCTGCGTTGCGTCAGCGGTGCGGGATACCGGGGCGAGGCAGCTGATGATGCAAGATACAAAGGCATCTTGGCATCATCCTAGCCTTTCGATCAAATATCACTCGAAGACTGTCTAGAAGCGTAAGGCGTAAAGGTAGATGAGCATGCTTGGCACCCAAGCAGTGAATCAATTCTGATTGGGATTTCACGGATTTCTTGCTCCTGTTGGTATTTTTGTTTTTAGCAACTCTGTATGTTCTTCCAAGCCTGGCTATGCGCCCATTTGATGAAATCCCATGAGGTGCGCGACGCTTGTTGGTGGAACTGCTGCGAGATGGCTCTTGCCGTTCGGAGGCCCCGGACAGCAACGATGCATGGCCTCAAAGTATGCATGGCACATCAAACGATTCAGCAGATTCCTTCAATATTCTCAAGACTTGGATGATTTGGATGCCTGCAGCTATTTGAAACATGAGACTTGCCATGATTTGCGCCATTGTCTGAGGAAGCATGGTACTTGCTTTGTTGCGCCGCAATGTCCAACTCGGTGGAGGGAGTGCGCTGTGCTTTGCGACTCACTTCACAATCACCGGACGCTGCTTGGCAGGTTCTGGGTCGCACCGTCTTTGCCCCGTTGCTACCGTATTTGAAGGCAGCACCTGAGTTGGTCTCGGCTGCACGCTGGTCTGACATGTTTCGAGACTTGGCAGGGAAACTTTCTGGCATTTGTCATTCGGAGGTAGAGAATGGACAGTGGGACCTTCCTTGCAATGAGATGTTTTTTTGGAGACTTCGTTAATGCGATGGTGTCCAAGGAGATTAAAACAGTTTCAAGTCACCTCACTAGTTTGAGTTTCTTTGCTTAGGGAAAACGCAAAAAGTATTCAGGACTGTGCAAAGAAACCGTCTCAACCAGCTTGTACTCCAGTATTCTCATGTCATCTAAGGACTTTTGAACTGGAATGGAGCTTTAGCCAATGGTACTTTGGGTATGGGTGCTGCTGGCGGACCTTCTGTTGTCGCTATTGTTGTCTTATGTCTTGGTTGGCCAAGGGTCTTCTGCCACAAAGGTGAGATTCTGTAACATTTTTCATTTTGTTTTCCAGCAGTTTGCATTGGTCTGACCTTGCGGAACGATGTGCAGCCAAGGTCCATCTTCAATATGTCTGGCTGCTCCACGTTTTTGTTGGTCTGTCGGGCTTTTTGTGGATGGCCTGGCTGAGTCTGGTGCTACAGCTTTTGTTCTTATACTATGGACGTCTTGGCGGGAATGTGTACAGCCTCCTGGTGCTTTTCCGATTTGACTGGGACTGCTATAGGTTGCACATCATGGGCTATGGGCGAGTCAAGTTGCGATTCTTGGCAGGTTGGCAACACGCCTCAGATTTCCTCAAGCAGTTTTAGTAACGTGCAACTTTATCACCTTTTTTCGGAATTTTTCGGATGTAGCTGTTTGAAGACAGAGCATTTGATGGCTTGTGATGGCGTCTTCTTTACGGCGTGATAGCCGGAGATGGGTTTTGGATGACAGACGCCTGTTTCTTGGTGTACATGTCCAAGCAGTACTGGGCCCAGTAGGAATGCATTGTGGTGTTCCAACCAACGTTAGGTCCAAGACTCGCCGTCAGGAGCTGATGATGTCAACTTCAACCTCATCCTGTACATGGGATTCTGGAAAGGCTTGCTCGTGCCACCCTTCTGGGCGATGTGGGCATGGACAAGATTTCGAAATTTGATTCTGAAGTGTATCTTTGTGTTCTTGGGTCTCCTGATGGGAAACATTTGCACCTTGCTTCATACAGCGATAGGCATTCTGTGCGCCTTCCCCCTTGAGATGATCGGAATGTACTGTCTCTTGCCTGCCCATTGCCTTTTTCAGATCCTCTGCAGTGCCGCTTCCGGGCATATTGCAAGTCGGATTGGAACTGCTGTGCGTTCTGCTTTGCCCGCGCAGATCATTGGCTCATGTGATGAGGAGAAATGTGCCTCGTCTTGCATTGTTGTGTAGCTTTCTTCCTTTGCATCCGCAAAAGGCAAGCTTCCTGTCCCAAAGAAAAACCAAAGGGACCAAAGGGCAAGTTTTCAAACTTTGGCTTGCTAAGTTTGCTATTCACTTGCTTCCACAAGGCACTCCGAGTTCCAGCCGTGAAAGCAGCCGTGGGGTCATGCCTGCCATCCGTGCACAGGATTTGCTTCGTGCAGGCCTTGACTTTTGGACACAAAAACCGGCAGAACAATCTCCGGAAACTCTTCACAGTGTGACTCCTTCACCCGAAGACCTGTCTCCGACTGATCGACTACTACGAGCGTTGCGGAGATCTTACAGCCGACAGCCTCAGGACACGGATGAACTTTGCTGTCAGTGCTTTCCAGGGAAGTTGATCTGAATCGCAAGCAGTTGCCGTCGAGTCCTCACCTTGAGCTCAGGAAGTCGCAAAACATTCCCTGTGCTCAGATTAGCTCTTGGGGGCTGATGTTCATGTCGAAATTCTATTGACTTCACGGGTCTCGTCCAACTTTTACTAGATTGAGGCGAGGAAATACAGCATCGAAGGTCTTGAGAGCTGGAGACGTGCGGCTGAATTGTTCTAAGTCACCTGTATTCACCATGAAGATTGACTGGGACCTGGTGCATGATGCTGTTCTTAGCGCTGGTTACACTTGGGAGCATGGTCCCAGCATGGTCGTGATCCTTTGGTGCCAGCATTTCAAGAGCCTTTGTGAAGACTGCTTCTTGGACGCTTCGCCACAACTATTGCAAGGCAGGAGATTGGAATTGACCTGGTGCATGTCGTGCCCAACCTTTTTCTGAAGCCTCAGCGATATGAGCTGTGAGGATGTGACAATTTGTTTCTTGTCAACTCCTGGGTTTCTTCCTTGCGCCAACAAAGTCTTGGCTGGGCGAGAAAGTTGCCAGGTCGATGAAGGCCTGATAAAAGGAGCCTTTTGGCGCGGTGTCAGGGAAACGAGGGCAAAGGAGACAGTTTTCATGAATGATATCGATGACATCACGCTTGTTCAGTCTTGCATCGACATTCATCTCGTCGTGTGCTGCGCAAATCAAACTGCTCGAGGACGTATCTGGCGACCGCGTTGTCAAAACCGGTTCTGAGGCAATAGGCTCAAAGTTTTTTTTTGCACATGACATCACACCGAAGGTGTGTCCTGTAGCTTCTGGACATCCAGCGTTCCCATGCGTTCCCATGCGTTCCCATGATATGAGCTTCTTTCTAGCGAGTTTTTTTTTGGCAAGCCTGGCCAAATCAAAAGCTGCGTGTTTTTTGGATGCAATTGCGGAGTCTGCATTGAAGGACCTGCCCTGATTCTGCTACGGCTGCTACGTTGTTAGTTGTTAGCATTTTGGAGAATCCAAAATCAATTGATGATCCCTGAGATAACTATAGATAACATATTTTCCTATTACGTATCAATAATAGGTTTTACTGGTGACATTTGGGGGGGTACTTTTTTGGGCAATCCTGGCAAGGACTTGGTGAATCTGGAAAAGGGTGAGTCCTATCCCATTGGACTTTGGATCGTCGCAGACTACTCTGCAGCCCATTTAACTTCCAGAGTCGTTCAGATCATGATACAGGACCAGCGCAACTTCCAAAATTTGACAGGTATTGGAGGAAGCATCTGCTTGCTGATTTTTTTGAATTGCATTTGTGTCACTTGCTCATTGATTTTTGCGGTTTGCTGAGTGGCAGGAAAAACTTGGGTACAAAGTGGCTTTGAAGGGTCCTGGAGGTCTCTCACAGGATGCATTGTTTGCGCTGAGCGGTTGCACCACACCCAAAGATGCAAATGACCGTGGTTGCGGGTCTGCCACAACATATGCTCATGTTAGTGTTGAAGTATGGACAGCAGGGTACCTCGATGCCTTGAAGTGGATTCAAGAGCAATACCCACAGATGGCGCCGAAAAATCTGGGTAATATTGGATATGATGGCGAGAGCGGACTGTTTGTTCCATCAGCAGTGCAGTCGAAGGCCTATGAGGCTGAAGGCATAAACTTAGATTTTTATCGTGACTACAACGTTTCGTGGCACATGCCAGGGAGATATTTTACCAATCCTGATGACCTTGATGTATCGACCTTGTTGCCTTGTATTTCCACATCCCTCATGACACCAGAAACCATGAAAACATACCTGGATCTCACTGGTGACTTGGAGGGGGTTGAGATTCGAGAGAGCAGTGCTGCCGGTGCTGCCGGTGCTGTGATCGGCAGATGCTTTGACAACTACTTCTGGTACTCACCAGCATGCAGAAGCGAACCTTCTGCTTGTGTTTCCTGTCTTACGGGCGGCACCGGATGGGCGGTGCATGAAATCATGGGGAAAGCAACTGCACACAACATGCCTGTAGCCATAGCGGTGGCCAGCTCTTTCCAAAACTATGCCAATGTGCCGAAATCGCTGGATCTGATGCTGTACTGGTGGGTCCCAGATCCAACTTTTCTCAGGCGCGGCCAAACAGAAAGAAACTTTCACTCCAAGGGCTGTGGACCCTTGTATGGGGAAAAAATGGACCAAATCGGTATCTGTATTCTTGAATTTCATGGATCTGAGAGATACTCTTCTCAATCTTCTTTATGCTCGGCTTGACAAGAGCATTCAGGTTGAAACCAGTTCAGATCACTTTTCCGCGCTATGACCCGGATGGAATTGCCAAGGGTGACCTCTCATCAGCAGCTACAGCTGTTTCAATTGACAAATATGTCAGCCAAGACTTGAGTCTGTTAGCGCCAGATGTGGTGGAGCTACTCGATCGTTTCTTGCCCATTTTGATCTTCACATTCCTCACCGCGTTTTTGACGAGTTTTTGAAATACATTGAAATACCATACTGCAGGGTACTGCACCCAAACTTTTCACCAGCAAATTCGGCATTTTTCCATTTTTTCCCTGCGTCCCCAAGGATTGACTTTGACTTTGAAGAATTTGGATGAGATGATGCTGGACCAAGACTAGTTTTGAAGTGGCCTGCCGCTGGCTGCAAGGCAACCATGACAAATGGATGACTTGGCTGTCGGAAAAGGGCAAATGTAATCCTCAGTTCGGCATCTATGATGAAGCTCTACACATTTTAAAGAATTCTTTGCTTTTTGATGCCTAGAACCCTGTCTTGGCCCATGGAAATCTTCGCCGTACGATCAACTTGAAGCATGGTATTTTCATAGGTTGATTTGTCCAGTTCCATGTCTGAGGGTCTGAGGCAGGTTTCAAGGGGAAAAAAGTAGTCACGAGGGTGTCAGCTCACCGAATGGTGCTGTCTTTTTGAGTAACCGAGAGACGTGTGACATGATTTTGTCAATTTTGTCCCTAGGCAAGCTTGGGGTCTTGGCTCGGGATTGTGCTCAGGAGACGAAAGGACAGTTTTTGGAGAAGCGTGCAGATCTCACTGAGCTGACTGGCATTACTTGCAGAGCTTGTCCTTCAGGTCAGCCAGCGCCGGTGGTTACAGCCGAAGTTTCTTTTCATCTGACCTCGGACAAAAGCAGAAACATAAAACCCCAGAACCTTTGGTATCGAATCCTGTGAGTTAGTATTCCCAAGCTTGCGAATCGGACGCAACTTCCAGGATATTTCTCCTCACAGCTCAACGATGGAGGCCAGGGTGTGCTCGAAATCGACGGTTAACCGACGGTTTGAATCTTGAAAAACGAGATCTGTTTCGCATTGGATCATCGTGGATCATTCAAGAGTGATTCTCGTGTGCGTCGCAGGCACCACTTTTATTTGCAAAGAATGTCCCAGGGGCTCCTTTCAAGCATCTGGAGCTTCAGTTGCTTGTGACCCGTGTCCGCGTGGCACCTACCAGAATGAGACTTCGAGCTCATCTTGCACCCGTTGCCCACTTGGTCACTACCAAGATGAAGAGGGGAGCACGGAGTGCAATGTGTGCCCAGCTGGGGCGAGCACACCCTTGTTGGGATCGCTGTCCTTATCAGATTGTTTCTGCAGAGCTGGGTCAATCGATATTGGTGACGACACATTGAACTGCATTCCCTGTGGGGAAGGGATGCACTGCCCATTCTCATCCAGTCTGGCGACCCTTCAGTCTGGCAAAGCCATGCTAGGGCCAGAATTCGTTCCTTGGAGGGGAGCTGAGGGAATGATGTGAAGGTGGAATTAGTGGACTTCGAAAGTCGTCCACTGCGGCTAGCTTACTTTTCCTTTCTCCAACGCAAACACGTCTGAGGTTCCTACAGTTGCAGAGGGCTATTTTACAACTGTCCAGAAGCCTTTGGACGTCTTCCGATGCAGGTTTGTGGACTTGTGTCCAGGAGGAACACCAGGACTGTGTAGAAGAAAATGA